GTAAGGGGATCTTAACCCTTGACTTGGTGTTGTCAGCACCACGCTCAGCCAGTGAGCGAACCGGCCATCCCTATATAGGATCCGAACCTGTGGCCTCGGCGCTACCAGCACCCCACTCTCCCGAGTGAGCCACGGGCCGGCCTCAAAAATAGTTTTAATAATGGGGCAGTGAAAGGGTGAGGAAGGTCCATAAGAAAGTTGCTGGGGGATAGTCAAGGGCACAGACAGTGGGGTAGGATACTTTGGAAACGAGAAAGTACCCCTGTTTCTCAGAAAGTAGAGTCTCAATGAGACAATGATATTGATTTTTCTTAGTTATCAGGTGACCTCTTGAAACTGAGGAAAGAACAGAGTTGGGTACAAGTAAGGTGGCAGAGATTCAAAGTCGCATGTGGCTATTATGTAAAGGATACAAATATGATCATTATGCCATGTTGACTGTGCAGTTGATGATGCATAGCATAGTTTCTCTTCATTTTATGAACATAATGAAACTCTCCATATCATGCAGAAGTTAAAGATTTGGGGCTGATTACCAGGACATACACGCAGGCCTTAAGAACAACATTGCCAAATAGATTTGGCTTCTGATACGTGTGACCACGTTTTTTATAATTCATGCTTTACTCATACTGTTCAGCCTTTTATTACACTCACTGGTGCAATGTTAGGACACTGCAGTGCTTCCACCGAGATGTCTCTCTTTCAGTTTCCTGTGGGCCGCATCCACAGACACTTGAAGACTCGCACCACAAGCCACGGAAGGGTGGGTGCCACTGCTGCCGTGTACAGTGCTGCAATTCTGGAGTACCTCACTGCTGAGGTTTGTGGGGGCATGTCTGCTAAATATGGGAATCCAGGAGGTGTTCTAGACTAAGTGACTGAAACCTATGGAATATATTTCAAAAAAGAATAGCAGCTTTAGATGCATCTTGTCAGCCAGTGCCACTGTCAAAAAGAACTTTGGTGTACTCGTTTTTAAAGTTAAGCAAGGGACAGCAATCCGTATTTTTAAATAACATGACAAAGGAGTATAAAATACTGTACCACTACTAGTTAAGTGAACTCTGAAGTATGTAATCAATAGCTGATATTCGTGAAACTACAGTATAACCTTTTAGTTTATGAAGATTGGAGGTGGGGTAAAGATTTGTCAGTGCAGTGATATATAAAAATCACAAATATGATATCAGAGTTAAAAAACCTAATCCTTCTGGTTCTCTGCATGATTGTTGACACAAAATGCTGTATGTTACTCCATTTGATGTTTCAGGAAGGTAAGTTAAGTGGGCAAGAGTTCTTAATTTTGGGGTCATGGACCACTGCTTTCCCCATCCCTACTGCTATGCTAAATGAATGGGAAGCCATGAAACTCCTTCAACTACATTCTGGGACGGGGAAGTAATTTGAGTAGAAAGCAAGTCAAGTGGTAGAGACAGCCAACCTGGTGGAAACAGAAGGAAGGTTCTTACTTGGAAAGATGTGGTTGGGAACTAGGCTGAGGAATTTAGGTTTAACCTGAATGTCAGTTGTCATTGCTGTCATTTCTTTAACCTCACCAAGTCATCTGTGTCCCACTAGAGATTTAACATTGAATCATGGGCAGTTTCGACTTTGCTATGTCATGAGCAAGGAGTTTTGTGTGGGCACTGTGGTACTAGTTGAGAACTGTCTCTTCCTTCTCAGTCTTACACCAGTTTTTACTTGTTTAGCTGCAGACTGTTTGGAAAGGTACACATTTTTGTTCACTAATGTTGAGCCACAGTATTTTTTTTTTTTCCTAAAGATGACTGGTAAGGGGATCTTAATCCTGACTTGGGGTTGTCAGCACCACACTCACCCAGTGAGCCAACCGGCCATCCCTATATGGGATCCAAACCCGTGGCCTTAGTGTTATCAGCACCACACTTTCCCGAGTGAGGCACTGGCCAGCCTGAGCCACAGTATTCTGACTCATAATAAGTCCCACCTAACTTCCCACTTTCTTTACCCTTGGGAATATATGAGGGTACTTCAGAAAGTTCGGGGGAAAATAGAATTAAAAGATTACATGAATCTCGGCCGGCCCGGTGGCGCACTGCGATAGTGCGCCGCTTGGGAAGCGCGGCGGCGCTCCCGCC